TGTTAACTTATTTTGATTAAAGGATTATAAGAAAAAAAAAGGATGACTTTGTGTGCACAATCTCCACGTCTCCTGTTTCTGACAGGTAAACCCCAATGGAAATCTTCCCAAAACACAAGGAATATTCTGTATTTGCCAAAAAAAAAAGTCTGTTTTAGGATGCAGACAGGAAACTAGTGTTAATGAAAATGACCCCTCTTAAAAAAAAAAAAATCCTGCTGGACAGAATTCATGTAATTCCTATTGAATAGATATTATATTTAGCCTTCTTAAATAATAAAATTTCTTACAAAATTCTAATGAAAAATGTTAGATGCATTCATTCATTCTTCAATAATTTATCTGTAAAATCGGCTGATGAATTAATGTGGAAATTACCATGTTGGTGACCAGCCCTCTTCCTGCCTCTTCAGTGTAATTGGTCACTTTATTCCAACTTTACCTCTTTTTCATGAAAGCCTTTATCTCCCAAGTCAGTAACCCTGAGTAACTTACCAGGCTCTTCGGGGTTAGTTAATCCGGATCTTCTAAAGAAAACTGATAGCTTAAACCTGCTTCATAATAGAAGGCCAAGCTGCTGTTGGTAGCATGAAAAACTAAATTCTTATTTGCAGTCATACAAATCCAGTCCTGATGATGGGAGGGGCGCTTTCTTTTAAACAATAATTCACTTCTTGCCAAAAACAGACACCACTAACATCTAACACCCTGCACTGAGACCCTCCTAACTTAATATGAATTAAAACAGAGTTAACAATGAAAACAAGGACTTTGTCTATAGCAGATTTTTTCAGAAGAACAGCCAGAGACATTATCAATCATATATTGAGCAGTTGACCTCTTCAAAGAAATACACATGGATAAAAGGGCCCTTTTATTTAGTAAAATGTAAATCAAAAATATATTTAAAGACATCTCTAAAAATCACCTCTATGAGTACTCTCTAACAAACAAAAGGCCAGGCACCTTTTGGCTTACCTTGCTTTTTCAATCTGAATTCCTCGTCCGAGTAAGATTTTTATGTCCCATCAATATTAAGAAACATTCAACAATGGGAAAATGAACAAGATTTTCTTCAGGTGAGGTGCTGAGATTATCTGTCTTGCAATGTAATCGTGGAATGATGCTGCTGGTCAGTTTTATTCAGGCCATTTGCTGTTTATTAATTCAATTAGTAAAGCTAAAAGATTATTTGTTTATACAAAAATACTTAAACATATTTTAATACATCATTTGAAACATACTTTACCTAAATACTAGCCTCAAATTTCATTGTTTGCCCAAGTAGCTAGAGGCTTGCTGTCTGTGTAGCACTAAACTTGAAGTTTCTTCTAACACATTTTTCAATGTCTCAATAGTTATTGTTTTAGTAGAATGTGTTTTATGTGATCTAAAGTAATGTTTCCATCTACTACTTTGTGCCAGAAAACCCACTTCTAATAAAAAAGAGTCACTGATTTTAAATAAAGCCTTGAACTGAAAGAAAGGATAACAAACGCTTCCCTTCACACATACCACATATCGGAGTGTTTAATTACCAATTTTATTTGAATTTTACAGTACAAGATTACCAAGAATATGCAAGGACTTGATGAGATGGAATAAAAAATAAGTACTTCTGATGGAAAGAACTGCAAGTTGAGGAGCCTATCTGAATGATTGCAATTATGGTTCAAATTAAAAGTGTTAAGCTGAAGAATACCAGAAATGTGACAGCTAAAAATAAAGACAACACTGTTACCTCAGCTACCCAAAACGGTGTCATACGATCACAACCACAAAAAACATCATCTCTAGCTGGGTTTGCTTTTCATTGCATAAATAAACTCAAGCAAAAACAATAAAATCAGTGATTTAGACTATCTTTTTTATTATTTCAGAAACCATAAAGAGCAGCAGTTAAAATTATTCACTAACAAAATAAATGTACTAATAATTAGTGACGAAACTTACTTTAAATAAATGTAATGGGAATTTTTTTTATTTAAAATTACCTAAATTTAAAACAATTCTAAGTTGATTGTCATAAACTAAATAGTAAACAATGACCTTCTGTTTATCTGCAGAATAACTGATGTTTATTATGACACACATTAAGCAATTTGTAGGAATGCAGTGGTTTACATTGGTATGACACGGGAACCTAAACTGGAGCTGTTGTCTGCTCATTTAAAAATGAGCCTTTTAAGAGCCAAATATGTAAAGGTTTACAAAATAAGATATTTAAATTCCATACTAATTGACTGTTCCACATGTGAAAAACTGCCACATCCATAAAGTCATTGTTATGGTGATTAATTAAGGTTAAATCATTTTATGAATAATAAAAAGGATTCTTTTATTAGCTATAACTCAACTCAATATGCATCACTTCTATTACTAAGTAGTAATGTTAACTATCAGTTCCAACTTAAACTTGACAAGAATTATATCAAAATTCAAACTAGATTATCTGTTAAAGATTACATAGCTCACTGGTAGTTTATGTCTTGGTAATTAATAGCCTATGTAATCCATGAGACAAATCTTAATGTAAACGTTAATAGTATAATTCAGTCTATTGTCCATAATAAAGCAGTAACTTTTAGCCACTAGGGGCCATAAACCAGGGCCGTTTATCAATTGCCAAGAATGCGAGTGCAAACTTGTGTCCTCGCCAGGTATGTTCTTGTGAATAACACAGGAAAGTATGGACTCTGGGAGAACAGGAGCATGCAGAATAAATATGGGTCAATTGGAACAGAAGCGTACTCATGACATCACCACACGCTCTGCTGGTTTGGAGCTGCATTTGACCTCTAGATAATATATTCTTACTTTTTTTAATTAGTGGGGGAATAATAATGAAAACAGTCAGATAAACACAAATCAAATGAATTTTGCCAAATAAAACAAACTCGCCATCAGAGCAAGCGGTACTTCACACACGGCTATGCCGAGAGAGGGCTGCTGCAGACGGGCTATGATTAGCTCAGGCTACGGTTAGCCTTGGAGGTCCACTGGTTGCTGCGGTCCTCTAATTTTTTTTAAAAAATACGCATTAAATAGTTAACTGGGCCATATAGTGAGGCCAAAAAGTATAATGTTCTCTCCTGAAATTATATTAAAACATACTTTTATTGAGCAACTGCAACAGAAAAGAGAATCTTTAACTTGAGCGCTCCATTGAAAGCTGCTGCTGCCGCAGTGCATGCTGGGACAGCTGTCAATCTCAAGAACGAACAAGGTTACAGTGACCCCTCTACATAAAATCCTACAGCGAGGAACCAAAAAATGTCAGACTAGGTAAGTGTCATACCGGTTAAAAACAACTTACAGCTTAACTAGCTCTAGTGTTTAAGGGGAACTCAGACCTTCATAAATGGCTGCTCTGGGTCACATGACTCCTTCAGCCACTGATCCAACCCAGTCAAATTAAATGGAGAAGAATTCATGCCAAGTTCTGTATGTGGACCTGAGAATCATTTATTATATATCAAATTAAGAAAATTCTTGGGTTAAAAATATGCAGTTTATAATTTTTATTGTGATAAGTTATGATAGGCATTTAGTGACAGCAGGTTTTGAGGTTATTTTGGGAATACAGTCTTGATCCTAAGAAATATTAGTTATAATGTTGTCCTTCAAATATCCAGGATCACCACTATAATCATTGCTGATAACTATAACAAAGTCAATATGATAACTACATACCATGGCCAACAAATACACCATTCTTTGGACCTACATGCCTCATTTTACTTTGCAAATATTCAATTTAAATACAGAGACATTTATGCTTGGAAACAAAAAAAACCCAATCTATTTTCTTTTCCCCTTGCCTTTCAAAGAAAAAAAATATATTTTCTACTAAAACTTTTTTTGACATCCCTTTAAGGATTTCCGTTATCAGCATTGCTTTCATTGGCTTTGAAAATGCATTTCTCCTAAATATATTGTCGCCTATTTCCATTAGACCAAAAAAGTAGAGACAAAAGATAATGTCCAATAACAAAATAGATTCTAAAAGGTGCAGAGCACTACAGTGATTAGTCACATAAGATAACTTTTTGTTTAGTTTACCTCAAATACTTAGAGCAACCTTTACAGTACTTGGAAGGTGCCAACAGAAGTGCCTGGCAACCGTTTTAATAGTTCATTTTAATCCAAACCATCTGCTTTACTATTTAATGAGCAAATAATTACTTCAGTAAGAATGATTCAGATAGGCTCCACCACTTGTATTCAACATCATCCTATTTATTCATATAAAATATAATGTTAAAGGGGAATGCCGTTTTTTTTTTTTTTTGTCATTACAACATGTTCTACTCACCCATATAAGTTTTGTGTCATTTGGAGCCGTTCTGAAGATATTGCGTTAGGTCATATCCAAGTAACGTCTTCCTTTGGGCAACGAGTTGAAAGCACAAACTAAATTGTTCATAATGTATTCTTTATGGTACACCAGCATTCTTAACATGTAGGTGAATCACTGTCCCCCAGACATCCGCGGTTATATTTTTCTTATATTTATATGTTTTAAAAACAAAGTGGAACATGTATGACGTCATCCGCGCATGCGGATTGGAGTTGTGACAGGCAGCCCAGGCCACAGGCGGCTACGATCTACCCCTTCTATTCATTCGGCTAGCTAATCTGACTCGTTCAATTCCATTTTGAGAGCTAGATCATCTGTGGTAGTAGCACTAGACATCTTCCAGGCATGTGAGTAAAACTAGCAGCAGTTTAGCGGACAGGAAGAATGAATGGTAGCCAGCGCGCGTGGATGACGGAATATCTTCAGAACAGCTCCAAATGACACAAAACTCATATGGGCGAGTGGAACATGATGTAATAACGTAAAATCAAGGGCCCAATGTAAAAAAAACAAAACAAAAAACGGTGTTCCCCTTTAACCTCAGTAAGACACATTATCAAATAATCTCATAAGGCCACTGATCAAAAACAGGAAAGAACAATTTTAGTGATGAAGTTTTTAAAGACTGCAAAATCATTACCTGAACATGAGCACTGAAAGTTGCATCTGGTACCGTTGCCAATGCTCCATTCACAGCTGCCATGCTGTTCCCCTCCTTAGCATAGTTCCACTCTAATGTTTAAGCAAATATATTGACAAAGTAAGGAAACATGTATCTTAGAACCTTGGGGTATGTCAGTTCAGTTCATACTGCAGAAAAACATGCACTTACCTGGATTTAGTGTTTCTTGATCCAGCATGCCGCCCTCCTGATAGCTCTCCAATTCTTCAACTTTGACTTTGCTCCAAGGAATATAAGTAACCCCCTGCTCCACATCCCAGAACTTTTTATGTGCTGGCTTTATACCTTTGTTTAAAGCCCAAGCAATCTGGAAGACAGGTAAAGCAGCTGCAGTGATCTCAGTATAAAACTAAAGAAGCCATCAGAGAGCTCAGACCTCCACCAAGCAGCAAATTAAACCCAAAATTAAACCTATAGCTTTAACTCACACGTGATCTCCATCAAATAAAAGTTAATGGTTCTTTGGTATGGGAAACCTATAGTAAAAAAAATGTCTTGCAAATCCATTCATACGTTTTCAATTGATCCTGCTAAGAAACCAACAACGTCCGATAGAGCTGGTTATACTCCCACAGTAGTGTGTCACAGTGAGCTTGTCGCAGGTATGACGCAGGTGTCTTTGGTTTTATGACCAATTTTGAAGCGTGTTCTGAGCTATTCTACGCCACAATCGCGAACCAGCTGTGAGTCTAGGTACGGCCGAGGCGGTGAGGAAGTGGAAAAACGCGAGAGCAAGTTTGTGTGACAACAGAGGGACATGGGAGCAAAATAGAGCGGGATCCAGTTGGAAGAAGGATCCCAGTTTTCTAGCGCACCTCGCTCTTCTAGCTGGTCCATCTTAACGAGTCTTTTTCCACAATGACGGTCATACAGACAAAAGAAGCCGGTAAGGTACCAAACAGGAAAAATCACAGGCCTCCTGTCTGCAGCACTGTCTGCGGTCACCTACAATTTGAGAGGTGCCCCAGAGTGTCTGCGGAGGGGGCGGGGGCATATCTGCGTTCACTGCGACAGACACGCAGACGACCTGGTTTCTGAATATAAACCAGCCCCGAGTCTGACGCTGAGGCTGTCTATAGTCACTGCCGCCATTCTGTGGTTTAGCTGCTTATTACATCGAACATCCCTAACTCACAATCTTAGAGGATCTTAAAAAAAAAATAAAAATCTGTATCCATATTACGATCAGGATTATCACCAATATTTAATGGGTTGTTCCTTGGCATGAAGGACGCATCTGATAAAAATGTCGAATGGCAAATCCCAACTCAGTCATTTATCCATATATATATATATATATATATATATATATATATATATATATATATATATATATATATATACATATACACACACACACCTTCAAATTCATAAATGCAAATGTTCATTCAATTGCTAAGCTGGTGCTCATTCACTGTCGAAAACCTGAATGTATCGAAATTTCATTTTGTATACACACTATGTATACAAAAGGACAAGAAAATGTTTCCAAGTCTAAGACTTATTCATTAAAATCAATCCATAACCTTTAAGTTACCCTGTATACAGACAGACAAAAGGACAGGCTCTCCTAAATAGATTCAAAGCAAAACAAATATAAATAAATGAGTAAAGCACATACCTTAGTAGGTTTCTGGTTAACTTTATTTGATCCTCTACTGAGCTTCTTTAGGGCTGTGTAAGCATCTTGTCGGTGAACCATAACAATATAGGCACAACCTCTTGGAGGAATCATCTGAACACAAAATAAACGTTTAAAGTAAAGAAAATTTTAACTTGTTAATCATAGACTGTAAGAGACACGTTTATCACAAACTGTCCCAACTTACATTGATCGACTCAATCTGACCAAACTCTTCCAAAAGGGACATTATATCAGATTGCTGAGTTTTCTTGTCAAGCTGTCCAACCCAAAGTGTGGTACTGCAAACTGGGAGCAAAAGAAAGTTGATCAGCTAAGAGCTTAAGTAGACTACAGGTTTTGGGAAGAAGGTTTTCCAATAACATAATTTTGAAGATTTACTTTTTGTTCTAACAGTTTACACTATTTTACATGTGTAGTCTTTGCAAAGAGGTTTCTAAGCTTGAAAGTTGACTTTACTAAGAGCAAAAAAAAAAAACTAATAACAAGAAGCTTTGTAAGAATAAAGGTAAAATTATAAAATTAATCTAACTGGGTTAATAATAGCATTCAATAAGAAATGTGACCAAGGAAAAGTGTAGTCAACAAAGCATAGTTGGTTTGGGAATATTTCCAAACCTAGACACTCCAACTCTGCCATCAAAGGGTAAGGGTGTCTAGTGGCACAGCCTAAGCGCATGTGTTCACCTAATCTCATTGTAACATTGAAAACTTTCAGCATAATGAGCGGTTGTGCTGAGAAGTGCTGGACAGACCACTGGGGGAGGGGTCCAGATGCCAGTCAAATACACACACACATATACACTCTCTGCAAAATCCAGGACCAGCTAAAAGATACTCATGCTGAATGGATTTCCAACATATGGACACAACTTCATATCGTTGGTATTGGTACATACCACTCAGAGTTTGGCTCTTGATGCTGGGAAGACCTCTCTGCCTGCGTTCTCTGTCTTTCTCCCTTTCATTTCCATCTTCTGAATCAGCGCGAGATCTCCGCCGCCGTTCCCTGGAGCGGGAGCGTCTGTGCCGTGACCACCTTGATCTAGACGAGGATCTCGATCTTCTCCTCCTTGGAGATCTGAAGCACAAAAAAAAAAAAAAAATACAATTATACAATGTATTAATGAAATCGTGATTATTTAAAGTATTATTTTTCATAGCATTCACTGTATAATGTTTTTAGTGTCACACTAAGGCTTCCTAACTGTTATCCCTACATGATATAAAATAATTTTTTTTCTGATTAACAATACAATTGTGCCGATATCACAAAGTCTGGTAAATGATGCGATAACCATTCAATGCACAAGTCTATCATCAACACGATGCAATGACATTCACCCATTTAACAGATTTATTTACACTGATATCAACCAACCTAAATACGGTTTGACTATTTTATTTCTAAGCTTTTACAGACATCAGGCATTTACATAAAAAAAGCAAAATTCTTCAAAGTTTATAGAAGAGATTATTTATAATAGATCACATGTCCACTGTAGTTTTATGTGAATTTCACAATTGAGGCATATCTTGAAGATGACGATGTGGATCATTTAATTTAGCATCAAAGTAATTGGATCATTAATCGATGTGTTTAAACACCCCAAGTAAAAGCTTATTTAATAAGAGCCTACAGCTTCCTGATTATGTAGAGGGAAATTATCAGAGATTTTTACTCCTAAAAGCTAATAAACTATAACACCAGTGAGATTTTAAGAAAATTAGCAAATAACCAGAACAGGATAATGTTTAGCTCCATTGTCCCTAACCAATGACCAATTGGTCAGAAGCTCTAAAATCCAGTCTTTTGTAATTGGTGAAATCACCATATATAAGCCCTTCAACGTTGCGATGACAACGCTTCTGAGAGTGGAAATTGTTGCCGTGGAAAGAAGACCAAGTCCTTTTCAACCTCAGGAATGTGTAAATAAAAAAAATTAAAAAAGGCAAGAGGCAGTTTAGCAGGAAACTTTACAAACAAATGTCTGCCGTTCATACTTGCTCCAAGTTCCATAATAATATTGAGCAGGCATTTTTAACACAGCTGAATGCAACACTGTGTAGCTTTTAGCCACTAGGGGCACTAAACCAGCAACTTTCAGGTTTAGCGCACCTGAAAGCAAATGGAAACTGACAGCAGACTACTTTGGACCAGCGGATGTAGAAGTCACTTGTAAAGAGGAGGACACATTAACCCGCTTAAATCAAATCTTACATTAAAATTATGTCTGATCAGGTTAGGGTCATATATGTTTTGTTGCCTTAGTTCCAACTTTTAGGTCTGTTAGCGCTCACGTTTAAGGGGGGCTCAGACTGCTGCAAAGTCACATTCTGGGTCACAGGACTCATTCAATGATGGATCAGATTCTTAAGTTTCACAGACAAGTTTTTAAGAAAAGCAGCCTGCACAGAGCATCAATACAGCAGGTTCTATATGTTGACCTGAAAACAATTTCACAGCTAAAACTTGGGTCAAAGGCTACAGTGTTGCTTTAAAGGGCACCTATTATAATTCATTTTTAAACACATAAATGAGCAAGATTTTTGTTGTAGTTCAATGTTTTGAAGGGGATCAAATGTATGTTACTTCACCTTCCATAAACTACACAGTACCCAAAAAACAGACAATTGTTGTTTCATCTTTAAAGAAAGAAATCCCACAGCCTATATTAATATATATATGATAGTCATCTTACCATCGTTCTGCTAAAAGTGTATGGTAATTAAAATTATTGTGAGGTCCATTTTCAGACATTCTTAATCCACAGAAAAAAGAAAAAGGTCATTTTACTTCAGTTAGCAGTTAAATGTTTTCAAAATCTGAAATGTATTAGATTTGAATATAACCTAAAACTTTAAAAAGGGGAAAGTAGAACTATCTGGATATTTAGTTAGATCTTTATTTAATACCTTATGTAGGGGTTAGTCAAAGCGTAGATAGATTATATAATAAAACCACTTGGAAAAAGGTCAGTATTGACATTTAAAATTCTTTAACCAATATAAAGATATAAAACATAACTTAATCATCTTGGAGTTGTTTTCACAGTTCAGAACTTCTGTTCTGTACCTTAATGGAGTGTGTGAGGCTGTTAAGAAAATCCCCTCTTTAAGAAGACTCTATATTTTACAGAACACATGAAGTTTGGGCTGACTGGATCCTTATAGTAATGCTGCAAATTAATGAGGAAAACAGATAATTTCCGTTGATTAATATTTTTTTTTCCTCAGCCCGTTTATCGCCTATCTATTTTGGCCTGATCATACGTTCATCAGAGTTCTGGTAATTCTGCTCCACAGCACTAGTTTTGCTGTGAGCACACCGCTGCCAAATTGGCTCCCCTTTGCTCTCCTGCCACAAGCTTCTGTTACTGTTGGTTGTGGTTCTAAGCAAGATACAAAAATTACAGCAGCGGAGGAGTCTGAATTTAGAACGGAGGCATCTGCTAGAAGACCGAAGGTATCCAAAGTATGTGAATACCTTCAGGCAGCTGGTTTGTACACAAAGTCTTCGTTGGCTTATGAATGCTTCTGAAAAGGAAAATATCATGTACCGGTAAGTTGATTATTGTTTAAATGTTTAGTTAGCATTTACTTTTTATAAATCATTTGAAGTATGACCAACTGTCTTTGGTTGTTAAGCAGGCCCCCCTCGACTCTTTGGTAGGATTTTAGTAACGCTTGCGCATTCATAACAATTTTAGTGCTTTCGAGACGGCTCCAGACTCTAGACAGAGGCTTTAATCGAATGAGCACACAGACAGAGTACGAACGTACCCTTTCTGTTTTTTTTTAACTTGGCGACACCATCCCTTGGCTACTCTGCACCCAGCAGTGGGGATTTTTTGGAAATTAGTCATTAAGATAAGTGAACTAATGTAAAATGTGTCGAAAGATAAGTTGTTAGAAATATAGTTATTAGTGGCAGCTCTATATTACACACAAAGCCAACTGGACATCAGCTAATTCTTTTTCATTCTCTGCGATTCTTAAGGGCGAATTACACTTCTGCAACCGCACACATCAAATGTCGCTTGCGTCTGCTGGCGAACCAGTTTTGCTGGTATGCTTCTGCAACGTCGGCTGGTATGCTTCAGCAAAGTATGGAATTTCTAGGGACAAACAGCAGTTTCCTGCCAAAGCGCTAGGGGGAGCCTATTCGAGAACTTGTGAGAACTTCTTCGGCGGCACCGGTGGGAGTGTTTATTTTCCAAAACATCTTACAAGTAGTTGTACTTCAGAACCTCCTCAATCAATCTTTCGTTATGTTATCCATTGCTGTATTACCCCTCGGTTTTTAAAAATGGCACGCCCCAGCACTGAATCGAGAACAACGGCCACACAGACAGCCGGAAAGGCATACTATGGACCAATTACAGCTGCTTTTTGTCTGCGCACTTCCGCTTGAGGTCTGCGCAGGTTTGCTACTGTTTTTGAGAGACAGATTTGACGGTTCCAGAAGCTATGCATCAGAAGCATAAATTGGCCTTTACTTGCAGCTTAACATTGCTTCAGATCTGCAATTTAGTTGGAAACGGGGTACACTGTCATAAGGTTGGGTTCATCTTTCTTTCCACACTGTAGCTCCAAGCAGAGCTCAGTGATAGCTTGGAAATGTGCACTAAGTAAAATCTGCACTTGCTTATAGACATAACTATTATTGCATTGATACCAGTATCGGGCGCGGCCCCCATCCAGCACTAAAATGGTGGTATCGGCAGGTTCCGACAAAAAGGGCACCAAAACCTTTTTGAGCCCAAAGTTTATTCAACTATTGTTACCCATTTCAGGTAGGCAATAGAAAGTTCTACTGGATTCACTTTATATTAGTCTTTTTCCTGCTTCACAATGGTAGGCAGAAGCTTGACAAAGCCATGGTGGTGATGGCAATTATTTTACATCCAAGTAGTATGCAGTTCTTCATATACACACACACACACATTGATTTCAAACAGATGTTATCGGCCAATACTTCACAGCCAGGTGAAGTATTGGCATCGGCACAATGCTAGACATAAAGTATGACTCAGCTTTATCGCAAAGAAAGCCACTGACAAAACACAAAAAAGTTAAAAGTATATCTATATTCTGAGCCTCTTGACCAGATGTGGAGTGCAAAAATAATGAATACATTTTTTCCTCTCCTACTTTAATGTGCAATTTTCGATAATAAACATGAATGACGGCAGCGACCAACCAATTACAAGTTCTCTGGAGATACCTGTAAATATTTACTAACAAGAGACCATTTCTGAAGACATTACCAGGGTCTAAATCTTATTCTATCCATTGCTACGATTTATCGGTGTAAATTTATTTTTTTTATCAAATTATCAGTTATTAACATTCTCCAATTTTTCTGCCGCTCTTTCATCTTCACCATTGCAATTGTGTGTAAAAATGCAACCTAAAAACAGGGAAACACATTAATTTGTGCAGTTAAAGCTTTAAGGAAAAAAATAGTGTTAGTAAGTATGTAAAGGTATTGCTTTGTTATTTTCATAAATAACTCAAGACAAATGGCCATTAAAAATAAGCTCTTAAATGTAATGGACCAAATCCCAGAACAGTTAATTTAGACACTTGAGGACAACTCATAGTGGCAGGCCAGTTGTATGAGCTTCAACGTCAAATAAATTAACAGCTCTAACAGCGGATGCAGGCCTGACCAATTGTTCAACTGTCAGACCACCAGCTTTCCTATGCAACATTTGACCACAGTTTGACAGCTACAAGAGACTAATGTCAGCTTCCTCAAATAACCTTTGCTAAATAAATCTACTTCTGAGAACAAAAACACACTTATCTCATCTAGCTCATGTTGTGTCCTGTCAACAATACTCACCACATGCAACTTCCCTCTATGTGCTTTATGTGACCACAGACTGCAGCATGTGACCAACTGCTAGCTTAATTTATTGTGTTGTTAAACTAAGATGTTCTGAGCCATTCCTGCTTTAATACAGCAAAGGGACGAATACAAAAAGGCCAAAAAACCTGAATCTTAGACCACCAACTCTGTCACTATAAGTAACTTATTTCCATTAAAATCAGAGTGAAAGCACTTCATCATGCTATCCTTGTAAACAGTGCAAGGAATTGTTCAGGGTAGAGCTAAACTCAGATTGGAGGACTTGGGGCACCCCAATACATTTCCGCAGACATCTGATCAAAAAGCTACATTTTTAAGACCATTGATCTGCAGGAAAGTAATCCTTGCCAGAAACAAGTATTCATATTGAGTCACGTTAAATGCAACACCCAGCTGACAAGGCGTTCTGGGAACACGTTGCCTCACTGACAGGTGTGCGATGTGGATGAAGGAATGGTGCAAGGCACCCAGTTAAAATTAATATCTTGTTTTATAAAGCTAGAAAGCAAACTTATCTGAGTATGTCTTTACAGTGTAGAAAAGGAAGGCCTTTTTCATAAGAATGTAGCAATAGGCTTGACTATGAAGGCTGAAACACATTTACTTCGTTCCTGTGAGACCACAACCAACCTTCCAGCACAACGCTAAAACTGCAATTGTGTTAAATGTTTAATAATAAGCATGATTAGAGGCACACATACTGTACCGCTGCAAAGGTAAAAATACATCACCAGAATATAGCTGTTCTAGAACTCATGACTTCTAAAGGATGCTTCATGTGGCAGGGTTTTTAAATGGTCGTGGGATTTGTTTTTAAACTAAAGGTGATAATAAATACATATCTATAATAGAACAGTCTGGATCATACAGGGAGTCTCCAGCCACACGAGAAGCACAGCACACCACAAGCTAAACTGGTAAAACCTCTCTAGATGAAATTTGAGTTTGGAATAAACAAACACACTGAAGAAGATGCAATGGAGATTGTGTGTGAGCTCAATTCTTCAGAGAAAAAAAAGAATTAAAAGAAAAGGTGTTCGGACTCTACACCTTACACTTTGACTTGGAGGTGAATTATCTTTTATTTAAACATGAATAAACACTGTTGCAAGTGTAGTTTCTCTGCTTGAACACTTGAAATCAGTAATAGATTGTAATGTTTTAGCAACTAAATGATCTGTTTGCCAATTTAAAACAGAGGAGGACTGCTTCCTAGGAATGCTCATTATGGAATGTTGCTCAATCAGCGAAAAGCTGTATCTGGGTGGATATTGCTGCACTACATTCTACACTTCAAGGTCAGTAACTTCTGTAAATGTTTTGCTGTACCAATATGGTCTTATTCAATGCTGAGAAAACAACTTGATTGATTTCCCCTTCTTTTGTTGACAGGAGCACAAAAACATGCAACCACTACAATATTGTCACCCTTTAAAAAGTTAATTCTAACTAGGGATGAAATCATCAATTTGATTCATCATGATTTGATTATTAGAAAATCTAATTTAGTAATCAATTAATCACTAAATGGGGTATACTGGATTTCATTTGTCAATATGCTCTACCCAGAACTCCTCAAGTGAAAGAGGTTTGAGTTTCACCTGGTTTAATCTTTTAAACAAATATTCTTTAAGGAACCTTTCTCTGATTATTATTCAAAAAAATAATCCACAGATTAAACAATTAGCAAGATAACACTATGGCTGAGAGCTAACCCAATAACACTAGTGCTGCTTACTGAGGAATTCAATATATGGCCATGATTAGGTAAGGCTTTCCTTACAATTGCTCAAAGCTCTTCTGATAACCTCTCACATTTATAACTGAAAGGCACAGTTATTACCTGGAAGCAGATCTGGACCTTGTCCTGTAGCTTCTGTCTCTCCCATCATTCCTCCTGGAAGAATTTTCTCTAGAGTTTTCCTATTTGACACACAAACATGTTTCTTGTTACAAATTGCACTTTGTTCATAATTTTTTTAAATAAAAATCCTATTAACAAAGGTATGGTATTGCTTAAACTAACAGCAAACAAGCATTGACTAGCTTACCGTCGAATAAAGGTCAGACTCTTTTCCAGAATTAAATCCCTCTGCTGTCAAATTTTGTTCATAACTCTTTCCTCCAGTCTGCTAAGAGATACAGAAACAACAGTATGCAAATTATCCAAACTATGCACAAATGCTAAATGCTGCTGTTAAATTACATAATCTGTCAGGACATAAAAATACCATTCATATACTAAGTTATCGGCATGTATATAACATCATGTTTTGCATTTTTTTTTTTATAAATTTACCTTTATATCCCCACTCCGTCCCAACATATGATGAACATCTGTGTTTAGCTTGTGAGCAGGAAATTGGTTTAACAAATTATCAGGTGTACTTCTGTCAGGACAAAAACACACATTGGATTAAGACTAAAGAAATAAAAACACTCTATGCTTCTAATGACGTTACAATTCCAGACTTTTACACTATCAATATAAACAGTTATAAAACATAAAAAAAAAAGATTTACAAGTAAAAAGTGGCTTAAATGCATTCACTCATATATTCAATTTATTTTGATAACATCTACAACTAGGTGGTCCTAGTATATCAAGATAATAACCCTGGAAATATTCTTTAATCATCTGAGCACAACTTCCTCTCTCAGATCAATTCCTTTTTCCCTACCCTGGATATTTTGACCTCACTGCTCTTTGTTCAATTTCTTTGTGGGTGCAACTGTGCTTGTCTACCATTATTGCAGGTTATGTCCGTAAATGGACCTGCACAAAATAAAAGCCACCAGGCAAAAAACTGTAACCCTAGAAGGAAGTAGGTTTAAAAATGTATAACATGAAAAAAAACGTAAACTGTTAATTAACCGAAAATAAGCACTTTGGAGACAACTCAACAAGATCATACGGTCAGTTTTCTAAGAACTCGACAGCAATCCCTCACACCAAGCCTGCATGTAGCAACAGTGGAGAAGAAAAATCCCTTTGTTACAAGTGAAATCTCAAAGGTGAAGTTTCATGCACCTTTGTCAGTGAGTGAAAATAAAGTTACTAGGGCTGAAACTAACCAGATTAATAGACTATTGAAATAATCGTCAACTAATTTGATAATGAAGTAATCATTTACTGTAGTATAGAGGCTGTAAAACATGCCTTTATCTAACAGAGTTAAAGGCACACTACTTGGAGCATCGATTTGCATATTAATCATTAGTTGCACCCAATCTGTGATTTTCAACTTGAACTTTGATTCAAAGGTAATCTTTAGTTGTTGTTTTTTTTTATATTTTTACAACGTTGTTTCCCTATACACTTACTGTGGCTGAACGTTGCCTTCTGAGATCGACATATCCTCTGGTTCATCATCATAGTCAAATCGGTCAAGTAGTTTCTAGGGGGGAAAAAATAAATATATTCAAACATAGCAATTGGTGGAAACATATTTTCTACATTGAGCAACATCAATACCTCAGCTAAAGAACTTTTCTTGGCAGTTTCAGCACTACATGGATGAAGTTGAGTTCCTGGCATCTGAGGCTGGTTTATGTTATTTGCAATTGAAGGAGCTCCAACTGTTTTATCTGGCTGCTGAAATTCCTGAAGCATCCTCTGCAGCTGTGGATGAAATGAAAGGGGACATTAGAAAAACACAATCTAAGCTGATATAATGAAGAACCTAAGGCAACATAATACTTACCTCCTGAGCATGGGAAGATTTAAACAGTTGTGCCACAGCAGCTAAAGCTTCTGGAGTTGGTATTTGTGGCACAACAGGTACAGATGAGGGGATACTGACTGGAGCTCTAGTTTCTGGTTGTGGGTTGATAGGAGCTGCTAAGAAACAGGAATGTAAATGATTTAACAACAAGGGAATATATCTCATCAAAGTATGTTAGAAATGCACTTGCTGCGTACAATGTTTTAACACTTCATTACCTTCAAGGGCAGGAGGTGGCACAGCAGTACCATTGGCCATATCCATAAGAGGCTGAAGGATCTCCATATCAAACACACCATTCTTCTGCCAGAGGTTCAGCACCCGAACTATTTTAGTCTGTGAGACAAAAAATTAACATCTGAGTTTTTGAAATGTCTCAATCAGGCTCTCAACGCTTATCAATACTAAAAAATGTTACCTTATCATCCTCTGGACAGTGGTAAAGGTTTTGAAAAGTTTCTGTGAAGTTCTTTAAAAACCTGGGTGCAAAAACATCCTTCTCAACACCGAACTGATGGCGTGACTGGCGAACAATGGAGTCAATGACATATAGACCAGGAACCTTCAATTCTGGCTTACACTAACAGAACAAAGACAGAAAAAAAAAGAAATGTACATTTTCTACTTTTTTAAAGTCAACAGTCAAGGCCTGTAAATTAAAGGCCTTTTTTGGTGCCAGGATTTCAAAGAAAATTTGTAACTGGGTTATTTAGAGAGAAGTGTATACATCAGCGAGGAAAGAGCAGATATCAGCTGAACCCAAATAACATATTTTCTTGTCTTTAGTACATTTTTTTTCTGTGCAAAGTCAGCCTCTATAGAATATTAATAAACCCTATAAATAGTTAATTGTAGGTTTTGAGCCTTTCTTGACCAGTATCATTAAAGATTAATTAACAAGAAAAATGATCTAACTGTACATACCTTCTTGATGAACTTTTCAACAATCTGGACAACATGTTTGTACAGCTGAATAAAGATATAAATGTTCATTAGTACAAGAGAGAAAGAGTAAAAATATACATGTATAGATCAAGTACCATTACAATATTTCACCTACCTTAATGGCTTTAATAGCTGATTTAGTAACGGACATCATCTTAGCCCTCGATATTGGAGGCTTCATTTCGATCATGGAGAACAACTGGTTTGATAAAAAAAAAGGAGACCAGATTATGTGAGGTAATTTACATAAACTGTGGTTTTATCTCATCGGAAAGATACAGCCTGACCTCCATGATAAACACAACATAAAACTGTTTAAACAGAATATATTGATTCTACCAAACATCATAATAAAGGTATTATTTAATTATTGGTTCTCACTGTGTATTAGTAAAGGCTGCAGTAGACAGACTGTACAAAAACTTTAAGTAGAATCACCATTTAACCACGTATACCTGCAAAGAGTCTAAAATCACATCCACTTCATGTTATAATCGTTGTTTTTATGCCATCAACATTGCCACTGTGACCCTGATCAGCTGATCTCTAATCGGCAACAACAGCCCTAGAAAGGGGAAGTGGCAACGTTTCTATAGGTGTGTTATTTCGAAGATGACTGGCAGTCAAACTGGTCACTCTGAATATCTTTTTGAAAAGAGTAAAGATAAGCCGTATGCACGTGATTAATAGTCAAAGAAAAAGACAAATGAAGTTAAACGCATCTTTTGATCCAAAATTAAGACACATAACCGAAAACACGTATTTTACTAATAGTAATGTGGATACAACATTTAGGTGAATTAAGTGAATTTCTCCACTGTGAGATGAATAAAGTCAGCCAATCAATCAATAAGGTATGACGTTTAGATTAATTTCAAACCAAGAAACATGGAAAAACAGCAAAACATATCGTTTTTACCTGTAAGCAAATCTAAGCTTTTGTCATTAAAAAGCAGGGGTTAATCAAAGCTAGTGTTTCCACTATAATTCAAAACGCCGCAATTTGTGTATTAGCATGTTTTGGTCTGTAGCGCGAGATTAGAGGCCTTAACAACTGTGTTCAGTCCTCAACTAAAGCTTTTCAGACATACACAAAAAAGGAATCCGTTGCCGAACGGAAAATATAGACTAGCATGCTCCTTTTTTGTGCTAATATAATAATGTCCGTCTTAACCTAAAAGGCTAAACTTACTGAGACAGGTTAGCATTACTTTTAACCTAACGGCTAAGCTTTAGGACTAAACCTTACCTCCGTGTTGAACGCGTTCACAGCATCCATGGCGGCTTGTTAATGCTGCACAATGTTGCTGCACAATGTTCAACTCTCACATTTATTTCAGAATGAGAAATAAACAATGTGGTATTAAGTTCTGAAGAAAAAAACCAAAACAAAAAGAATCCAAGCCAAATGCTATAAATACCGCCCTATCTAAAGAGGTCTAGCTAACTTCCGCAGGAACAGGAAGTCCGATAGGCTTGTTTTTCTTTTTTTAATTGCGGTTGGCAAGCAAATTATTGATGCGCGTTACTGCCATCTACTGGAATGGAGTGTGGATCGGGATGCTTCGATAGGCATAATTTCTGGCGATTTAAAAATATATATGTTTTACTTTTATTACTTCCAGGAACCTTATTAAAAAACACATTACCTGTTTGTAATATTCACAAAGTTTCAAGGGAGAATGTTCATTAAAACCAAATGTGATATAAAAATATGTCCTATTTTTGCTACAGCTCCCCCTGCTGTTCGATTCAATATTTGCTACATCGGCAGTCTAGGAGGACAGTTTGTGCTCCGAATATTTAAAGGGAAATACATTACTCTTTCGACTATATGATTATGTTTTAATATATACTTCTGTATAAAAATATAACGATCAAACACCAGTGTTGTTAGTAATAGATATATGCGGGTACACAGCGACTAATTGTTTCCCAGCCAAGTTTTGTTAAATTCAGTTTAGATCTAATTTTTGAAATATAAACAGTATATATATATATATATATATATATATATATATATATATATATATATATATATATATATTTTTTTTTAAGTGTTAATTCACTTAAGTTTTAATTCAAACACATATATATATCTTTTTGTGTGTGTTAATTCACTTAAGTAGTAATTCACTTTCCTTCACGTTTTTCTTAATTTTACAGCTCAAACGCCATCTTGTGGTACATTTAAATTACTGCATGAATCTCGTGCTGCACTTTTTTTTTTCTGTAACCATCAGTCCTGAGGACGGATCAGACGCATCTGTAGGAACAGCTCCTGGGTGTTAAAGCTATTTTTGGGGAGTTCTATTGCTTTTGCTATGGTCGGATCAACATCAGCTTCTAGAAACAGGACATCAGACCATTTGCTCAGAAATGAAACTCTGGGGGTTGTAGGGATCTCTACCAGCACTCCTCCATATGAATGGGAATACTATTTTGATTATCTCGATCCTGTCTTTGTGGATGAGAGCCAGCTCAAATACCATAAATGTAAGCTCTTATTCACTCCTGATTTATTTGTTCTTATGTTGTAAAATGTTCTTTATGATAATAATGAAAACATGTCCTTTCCTTTCAGACTCAATTGTCATAATACTATGGATATCTCTGGCTGCGTTTGTGGGATTTCTCTTTCTTATTTTGAATCTAATGTCTCTCGGGTTGAAGCTTCCAAAGTAAGTTTAAAACATGCTTTCAAGGATTAAATACTTAAAATGAGTAACTTATGCAGTCCAGTGATCTTGTTCTCTGCCATGTCTTAAAATGTGCTCTTATGATCACTCCAGGATACACAAATCCAAAGTGAGGGAACACCATGAAAGCTCAACTGTTTGACTACAATCTTATTCTGGAGGTAAGTAGTAAAGATATTCAAGTACACGTTTAAAATCCACTTAAAATGAGTTTTTCTCCAGCAGAAAAAGAAAGATTGATCCTTTTTGTTGTTCCACTAACAAAGCACAGAGCAGATGTTTACTACATCATCATTTTTTAAGCATTAAACAGCCACATGAAAAAATTTTCAAGAAAATTACATAATAATATATTTTTTATTCTATTGTAAATTTCATGTGTTTAGAAGGAGCAAACCCTGAATTAGGAAAAAACACTAAAGCAAGTTTCACCTGATCTAAAAAAAAATAATCAAAATTTCATATAAATGTTTACAAACTTTGCAGTCCTCTCTAAAAGCATAACAAAAAAAAATATAAAAAACTGAAAAGACAGTGAGATTTCCAAGTGTTTAACTTTTCATCTTGATAATTTCTCTACAGATGTCTCTGACGGCTGATCGAGTCTTTGATGATTTGGACCCTTTTTGTCTTTGGTTCTTGCCTCCGCTAACCAAGCTGACGTGGGACAGGAACCGCTCCGCTGAAGCCGCTCCACTCCACAGCTCATGGATGAACAATGACAACAGAAACAGTCCTGCATCTGGAAAGAAAAAAACAAAACAAAACCTTAAACAGCAACAATCCATGGAAAATGAGTAACATTGTAAAAGTTTTCTATTTCATTTTAAATAAAACCCTCAACGCTTATTACAAAGTACTTTATTAGTTAATAAACATACTTCTGGACGCCACACAAAGCTGTGTTATTAAAGCAGGTGAGATTTTTAAGTTTAAAATTGCAAACTGTTATTGTCAACTGTGGCTTGAAAGGCAAATTCACATTTACAGAGGGCAAGTTTGGTTTTGGACATTTTCCTTATCCTTCATTATTAAAATGAAATAATATAAAACATCAAAATGTCAAAAAGAAAAAGGAGCATTTGAGTGGAGAAATCCTTAAATCTAATTTATTTCACCATCTGCTCAAAATCAGGCCGACTGTGCGAATAGCACCCCAGAAAACATGTTAACAATTAAAGTCACTAATGCTTAAAATGTAAAGTAATAATACATGTCTGCTAAAATGGGCAAAGACATTTTTTTATACTATGATTTTCTCTGGTGAACAAAAAAAAAAAGAAAGAAAGAAAGAAAAACTCTCCTACTAATCATCACCTGTCAAAAATGCTTCAGAATATAAACCTGGGTCCACTGGCAGTCCTTACTTCCTCGGTACAAGATGTGTTTAAATTAGCAAACTACTATTCCATCTTGAGGCCACGTTTAGATCAGAAGGAATTTTGCTATATCTGTTTATTTTTCACTCTATTTAGTAATTTTTCATTAAAAAGAAAATATCTGTTAAGGCAGAGTAAGTCTGCTTGGCTTCTACAGAGAGGTGAATTTAAAATATCCTTAAGAGATTCAATTAATTAAAATCAAATAGGTACTAAACTAATTGTAATAAATGAAATTGATTCTGGTCACCAGGCTAAAAAACAAAATGTGTCTCTTACATGCATAAGTTTTATTTGATTTATAGCAGATTAAGCGGTCAGGTTCTCACCATGTCTGGACTGATCCTGATCTGGCAGGCATGCAGAGATAACGGCCTGATGGAACTCCTGGAGCTGGCCTTGCATCTCCAATAAGCGGATCATGGTGTTTGTGAAGAGCTGGCAGGTTTCCAGCCTCTCTGAAAAGCTGGAGTGACCATGAGCTTCAAAGGTGTGATGGAAGAGCAGAAGGAGGTCGGCTTTCAAGCCGGAATCGCGCATCAGAACTTCCACGACTTCCTTGTGTTTGATAACAGCCTTTTCAAACCATGTCAGGAACTGCTTTGTTCTGTTTTCATCGTTCGTGTCCTCCGCCAGCCACCTCAGGGACCACTTTGTAAGCAGGTGCGCCGTATCGCAGGCCAGCTGTATGGAGTCCAGGCTGTCTCTTGGCTGAGGTGACTGTGGTTCTGAGAGCTGAAACACCGGCTCCCAGTGCACAAATATACCACAGAGATGCACTTTACAGCCCGCAAGAAGACTCTCCTCTTTGTTCACAGTACAGTCCTTCTCTGTATTGTTATTCTCCAGGTTAACGCGGCCCTTACTGCGCACCTTATGCTTCCACATCCCTAAAAATAAAGATACATAGGTTCATTTTAATTCAGAAGAAATATTATTGCTGCAGAGTGAACTAATTAAGATATAATGTTTACATTTACTTTCAAAGCCATTCAACCTTTTCATATTTTGTGTGGATGTAGAGAATAATGATCAAATCTTTTAACAGCTACAGTGGAATAAAAGAAAGGCCCAGTTTAAAGTCTTGGCCTAAATCTCGTTAGGAAATGTGAAAAGACTTGAGCTGTAGCAGCTTTTAAACAAGACAAAAACTGTTTTATTCTCTAGATATTCAAATGTCTGTATATCCTCACAAAAACAGCAGGTTTATATGCAGCAAAAGGTGCTTCTACAAAGAACAGACTCAGAATGCTACAGGATTCACCATCCTGCTCTGTTTTATGTTGATCTGTTGCAAAAATCCAAATAAAGATAAATTCGGTTTCAGTTATGAGGCATCAGATCTGAAAAAGATCAAAAAGTATGAATACTTCAGTTTTCCTTTTTTTTAAGGACTCACCCATTAGTTCTTTTAATTTGTGCCTCTCAGACAGGGCTTGTATTTGGGTTAGAGAGGCGCTGTTTTGGGACAACGTGGCCCAGCAGAGTAGCAGAGAGAGAGTTTCAGTGGAGGAGAGCGGCTGTGGATGGAGGGAGAGGCGCTCTGTTTGTTTGTTTATGCTGAGAGCTGTACCCTGATGCACAAGGACGGAGTGAAGAGTTTGTACAAACTGGCTGAAGTGAGCGGCCTTCACACCCAGCCTGAAAGGAAGGGAAAACAAAACACTGATCCTATGACCAAAATACACAAAGCATTTCTATCATCAGACATCTCCATGTTTTCTAACCTTCATCTCCCCATTTTCTCTACTGAGGTTTTTACCTGAGGTGTCTGCTGATGGCCAAAGCCACACAGAGGAACTCTCTGATGACTGGGAGTGGCAGACATTTGGCTAATCCAGGAGGTTTCTCCTCAGTAGACACGGTGGAAACGCTTCTATCGACCTTTTTCTCCGTCTGCACAAGGCTGGTAAACCACAGAGTGTGAAGAAGGTCGATGACTGCGCAGATTGTCTGCTGGGTCAGATTCCTGGCAGAACACAACTATAGATTAGTGTTTAACACATGAAACAAGACCATAAAGGATCTTCTGTAAAACTACTCATAGCACCTTTTAAGCAGCTCAAGTAACAAACTGAAAATCTTTAACTTTCTACCAGATTTAACTACTTAAGAACTCCCAAGGCCACCATTTCGACGGTTCTGAGATTTTGAAGTGAAAGAACTTCATTAACGACATTATTCTTATGTTGTTCATATTAACTGACTTTTCCTGTTTTTATATTTCCTTCTTTTTCATGTAGTTTTTTAAAAAAAAATAAAAAATAAAAACCTAAAAAAATAAATATGGTTAATCTGACCTCGATTTCCCACAGCCGTCATTTTGACGAATCTGCATTGTAAATAATGTTGCCTAGCAACCA